GCTGCCGCCCGACGGCCTACGAGGACGAAGTGTCTTTTCTGGACACGAACAGCCGCTACCACACGGTGCACGAGCTGTCGGCGCGCGAGTGCGCCTGCGTGTGACCCTACCTCACCCGTCCCGGCCGGACAGCACCCACCGTTCCAGCTGTCAAACCGGGCGACAGACTGCCCATGCGCGGAAGATGCCGTCGAGGTTTCGGGACTCTCGCGATAACTGTACAGATAAAGTGTGGAAAGTCGATGCGGGTCTTGATTGCGCGCCCCGAGGGTGTCCGCCTCCGGGAGGGGCAGGAGGACGTGTGAGGAAGTGGCCCCGTCTTCCCGGGGGGGTGGGGGGAAGGGGATGGGCACGGGTGTCACCTGCATGGTGGGGAGAAAGGAAAGATTCAAAGAGGGTCCTGTTTCCGGAGTACAAGTGGGGAAATGGGGTTGATGGGGGCAATGTCGGCGGGGACTGCCCTTCCGCCTCCCTGCAGGTCCCTGGGCTCCTCCCCAGCATGATGTGCTTCTGGGGAGGAAGAAGGATCACCACGTAGAAGAGGAGACAGGTCAGCTGGACCCAGTGATCCCAACATGTGCCCATTCCCACCTCCACACCAGGCGCTTCTGGGGAGGGAACGGGAGCAGTGAAGTCGGTGGAGGAGGGGGGAGTCACTCTGAGAGGGGAGGCTGAGGTCCAGGTGGACCGAGCCTCCCTCACCGGACGGGCATCCTCAGGCTGGGTCAGCCCGCTCGAGTGAACTGAAGCCACTATCTCGGTTTACCAGCTAAAAATACACACGCGCTGCCCATCTCCCTGCGGGGATGGGTCTGGGGAGGGCGCCAGCCCCATCCAACCCCAAACTGGCGCCTGTTGGGCAGAGCTGGTCCCGAGGGATCGAGGTCCTGGCCCATAAAAACCCTGGCCCGAGTTCCAGGGGGGATTTATGAGGAGCCCCCGTGGAGCATGGAAAAAGCACCAGGCGGTGTTTAGATTTGCCTGCAGTGTCACCTTGACGTTTGGCAGGCCAAGGAAGGGCACAGCGTTTTGAATTCCCAGAGCTGGGGGAGGGATCCGTGGGTCCCATGGTCTGAAGAGGGACGGGTGAGGGGGTAGGTGCTGCAAGAAGAGGGCTGGCGCCCCAAAGACTGGAGAGTGTGGACTCTTCCCCTCCAGCCCCTCAGGCTGGGGGCTCCCAAGGGAACATCCCCTTTCCCCCCTTTGCTGTTTCCCTAGACGGCCCCCTCCCTTCCCTCCTGCACATCCGAGTTCAGGACCACCCTCTAACCACCACATCCATCCCAGACCCAATCCATGTCCAGAAGCTGGAGGGCTTGAGTCAAAAGCTGCCCCAAGAAGGATCACCTAGTGAGGCGGGCACCTCCCCCAGCTCCCTGCTCCCCAGGGCTCTGGTTGCAACTAGAGAAACTTGAGGCAGCTAACGGGAAGGACTTACACGGAGCTCCAAAAGCATGGCTGGCAGCCAGGCCCCACCCAGCCAGTGGGTGGTCTGTTTGGAAGGCAATTTCAGAATGGAGGCTGACTGGGGCCCTTGCCTGCCCCCGCAGTATTCTGACTCTGAGGTTTGGGGTGGTGTATTTCTCCACTGTTTGGGCTGACTCAGCCCAGTGTGGCGGAGGCTGGGGTTCCCAGACACTGTAGAAGCTGAGCCTCAGTTTCCCCATTGTAGATGGCTCTGAGCAAAAGAGGGATGTTGCTGCGCTCAGGACATACAGCAGGCTTTGGAGTCTGGGTTGTGGCTGCCTCAGGGTGTGTGTGTATACGTGCATACACACACACACACACACACACTCCCCCAGCCTCCAGGGACCTCAGCCTCCCGTCTCCCACCCAGATCCAGCATCCCAACCACAGAGCTCTGGCTTAGCCCGCCAAATAATTGATGTAAAAAG